GACTTGTAAAATAATCTTGTTTCTAATTTAAATAAAAAATGGAGAGAAAAACAGAGAGTTCCTATATACTTATAAATGAGTCCATACAAAGTTTATCTTTCTGGGTCTGGGTTCACTCTCTCAGGATTATTTATTTTAATTCTATCCACTTTTTGTTGGACTCCTAGCAGTGGGAATGGAAGTGTCTCTGACTCTCTTGCCGGCTAGTGAAATCTCTTTCCTCCTACTGGGTTGCCTCATTCAGAATTAATGAGGGAGTTTATGTCTCATCTTATTGCATCTTATAATGCATGTTTGGGTGATATCACTGGAAGGCCTTCTCTTTTCTGAAAGGAAACAGAATCAGTGGGTCTGGGAGAAAGAGGAGGTATGTGGGGTAGACTGTGAGGAGAGGAGGGAGGGAAGGCTGTGTTCATGATGCATTTTATGAGAGAAGAATAAGGAAAAAGTCATTGAATTTCAAGAGCTGTATCATTATATATCATAAGAGTAACTAAAATAATTCAAAAAAATCTAAAGACAGAAAAACAAAGATAAGAATACTGGAAGATAAGTCACATTCATCTCAGGAGAAAGGAGAAGGGGAAGGTGGAGTACATATTAATATGAGTTAAATAAATTTATATGAAAGAATTTGTAGAAAGAAGGGGAAGGTGGAGTACATATTAATATGAGTTAAATAAATTTATATGAATTTGTAGAAACTAAATCTAAACTTGCTCTTTGAAAAACTCATGGTTCACCCATGTTTGAAAACTATGACAGCAATGTTAAGAAAAAAGCATTCAATAATGTGTATAGGTTACATTATTAGAAATACTTATTTTATAATCATAATCATTGATACAATACTCCTGTTCCATATTTCTTCTGCAACAGAGATATTCCCATGAAGCAAGAGTTTAGCTTAAGATCATCAGAATTAGAGGTGCTTATCTTAATAGAGCCCGATCAGAAGCTGTGCAGTGTCCATCTGCACCATCCCCTTAGTTTCAGGTACGTTTTGTGGAGCCCACAAGTGCTGCTTACAATCTGTTGCTTTGTCACTGATGCGTTCTTGATATCTAGGTTATCCATATTTTTTAGGAAGCTAAATGAACAAACACTTAAAAGTATCTTACAGTATGGAAATAAGATCCTCTGTTTCATAGTATTTGGGAACAGTTGATAAAGGATTTTAAGAGAGGGAAAGGCTTGTTACCATGATTATGACAAGGGACTCATTAAGAAGTTCTTGGCTCAGCAGTTGAGAATGTTGGCTGTTCTTCTAGAGGAGCTGGGTTTTATCTCCAGAATTCACAAAGAGGTTCACAATCATCATTAATATCAGTTCCAGGAATCCTTTGCCTTCTTCTGGTCTCTGTGGGTTCTATACTGACCGAGTTATCAAATATGCGCCCTCCATGTTATTTCAGTCACAGAATGTTAACCCCGTCTTCTATCGTCACAACCAATGAATTGTGAGTCTTTGCTATTCCTGTTATACTTACTTGATACTTCTTTACTATAGGTGAATCAGATTGCAAAGAATGACAGTAACCAATAAAAGTCACCCAGAAGAGTTCATTCTACTTGGCTTTGCCGATCGTCCTTGGTTGGAACTTCCTCTTTTTGTTATTCTTCTGGTAACATATCCACTGGCTATGATGGGAAACATTGCCATCATTCTGGTGTCCATATTAGACCCCTGTCTCCACAGTCCCATGTATTTCTTCCTCACCAACCTCTCCTTTCTGGACATTTGCTATACCACAAGCATTGTGCCTCAGATGCTAACTAACCTAGGGGGTTCCACAAAGACCATCAGCTACATGAGGTGTGTAGTTCAGCTTTATTTTTTCCACACAATGGGGGGCACAGA